AGGTGCAACAGCAGATACAGAGACACGTTTGAGGCCTACTGCGGAGCATCCAGCAATGCCTCAGTTACAATCTAACGTCATGGAGGCCGCAACAGCATCTCAGTCTGCCTCCTTAACAAGACCACCAGCTTGGAAAGGGCCTAAAATGCAGCCTTATAACGAGGATGAAGACATTGAGCATTACCTAACAACTTTTGAGAGGATCGCAAGCGGGTGCCAGTGGCCACACGAGGATTGGGCATTACATCTTGCTCCACTTCTCACTGGTAAGGCACGGGCTGCTTTTGTAGCCATGGACATTGATGAGATTATGGACTATGTAAAGGTGAAGAAAGCTGTTCTTGAAAAGTTTGAAATATGTGCAGAGACTTACAGACTCCGATTTCGCTCCACTACGTTGGGCGATGGCGAGACACCTAAAGAGTTAAGGACACGCTTGAAAGAACTGTATGATAAGTGGATAGTTCCAAGAGAAAAGTCCAAAGATGAAATTGGTGATGTCATTGTTTTAGAGCAGTTCCTGAGAGTTCTCAATCCTGAACTGCACACGTGGATAAAAGAGCATAACCCAACCACGTCTAAGCAAGCAGCAGAGCTGGCTGACGCTTTTCTTGCAGCCCGTCGGCCACTAAAGAACTATGCAAGTCCCAAACAATTAGCCCCTGTAATAGCAGGTAGTTCCACTAGTAGTCGGGCTAGGGAAATCAAGCAACGTGGGCCTTTAGTGTGTCACTCTTGTGGTCAAACAGGTCACTTTAGGGCAGATTGCCCAAGTCAGACTGTCAGTAACACATATATGTGCTTTTCTTCAAGGGGTGTCGAAGATGAAGTTGAGTCTTCAGCGCCCTCTTCTCAGCATGAGCGCACCACATGCGTTTTTATTGAGGAAAAGCCATGTGTGGCTCTTCTGGATTCAGGAAGCAGCCGTACCTTGGTTAGGCAGGAATGTCTTCCTAGGGATGCTACATTTTGTGGCAAGGTAAAAGTTTGGTGTGTTCACGGTAATGATGTGGATTACCCAATTGCCAACATTAATATTCAGATTGACGGCAAGCTGTATTTACTTTCCGTGGGAGTTATGAGTAAACTGCCATATCAGGTTGTGTTGGGCC